GGCAGCTTAGGAATGTAGAGGAGGATCTCTGATTTCAAGCAAAATTTAAAGGTGTATTCTTTGAGGTTGCCTCTGTAATTCCCCATGCTTTCTGTGAGGTTGATACTTTTGTCATCTCAGGCACTACTGTGCTAAAATTGGTCTTTCTGTGGCACCAAGTGTTTGCAGATGACCTTATGAAAGGCTCATTTGTCCTGATGGGTCTGGTTCATTTATTTTAGTGAGTGCTAAGAATGTCTTTGCATGCCTGGAAGTATTTCCTTAAAATGTATTATAGTTAGTTACTGCACAGCCATTTTATATGGAATCCAATTCCCAAAATGTTGGTTGTGCCTGATTTGGCCTCCAAAGAACCAGATAAAAAAGGGTGGATACAAGTAGTGCATTTCATGCACTTGCATACGCCAGAAGTAGAGGAGCATTTCCACTTTCTGTTCTATCCATGATTATAGTACTCACTGAAACTTGGTAGGCACCATGATCAGTGGCTTGGGTTTGAGCACTTCTGTTGAAAGTTTTTTTTAGTGGTATCAAGACTGGCTTTTTCTGGTGAAGTTCACCCCACTTTGTTGCTAGGATCTTCTCTGGTTCTGATGGAGTATGCTACCAAATAGGCACTTACTGCTATGTTGGCTCAGGTGACAAACATTAACCTTTTAAGAGCTTTGTTCTGTTGGAATGAGCTTATGCACCTTCTCCCTGCTGCTTAGATCTTCAGAATTGGTCACATCGTCAAACCATGCATCCTTTAGTGCTTGGATCTTCATTGGACCAATTGCAGAAAACATCAAGAACTTCCTTATTGAAAGGACCAGTTGGTATCAATGACACTCTCAGTTGTCCTTAAACACAAGACAGGAGAAGAAATCTAGGGATCTGGTACCAGAGGGTTTTTTTATGTCTTTCCCACAGAGGCAGATACAGTTGCCAGGAGGTAAGGACCATATGCCTAGAACTACTGTTATGTTACTTTGTTCTGTTTGTCCTGAAGATGACTTAAGGCACCATCTTACTTTAGCCAAAAGCTGTAGTAAATCACAAGAGCACCACTGCCCTGACTTGAGAGTTCCTCTGTGGTTGATACTGTTAGGTTTTATACCTTTGGAACAAACAGCAGAGGTGAAGCCTAAGTCTTCAGGTCCCTCAATTGTCTGATCCTCCTTGGTTAAAGAGAGTTGGACAGCTTTTAGAACAAAGATGCTTCAGCACTGTGAGAAGCAAGGTTTTTGTGGTATCTCTTATTGGACCAACTGTGTTGGTGGAAGAGATATTAAATACTGTGTCATTCCTCAGCTTCATGTTGAGGATTTTCCATTGTAGATAGCAAATTTTGATATCCTCTATGCTGGGTCAGATTATTGTAGCTGTGACTGTCCAGGAAATGAGAAGCAAGGATTCTTTTGGTGATACCTTGTATTGGGCCAACTGTCTAGTTGGGAGAGATGTTAGACAGCGTTCTATGGCACTTATTTATTTTCTAGTGACCTCAGCACTTTTTAATAGTCTTTTGGCACAACTGCATTTACTCCCTACTTGTACGCCTGGGACTATTTTTTTTTTTCCATAGCATTTGAGGCTGGGAGATTTGTAAAAGTTGGCTAAAGCCCCGGTGCTGCTCCTTGCTTTTCTTTTTTCTCATGTTTTTTAAGAAGGTGACCTCACTTCTTCCCACCCCTCTTGAACACTGTTCACTGAGCTGAGCCAGCAAATGTTTTTCTCTTAGTCAAATGTTCCATGCTTTACCCCTTTGCTCCAACACACAGCCTGTGTTTGCAGGGTTGATTTGACTTACTGCATTCTGTATACGTGGGGGCAGTTTCCCGTTTTTATTATATGGGCTCATGTATTTCCTCCATGTTCCAGCTGAGAGAGGCAGGGAATACAGAAAAGTATTAAAAAGGGGTCTGTTAGAGGGTGTATCCTGAGCCTTTTTTAATAAAGGATTCCTCAGTGAGGTCTTCACAGTTTACTGCAGAAACCTTTTTTTTTCCTAATTTCTTTTCATAGCATTTGATGAAGCAAGCTGTTGCTTATAAAAGGTTATGCGTCTCCACTTTAGTTAGTCTGTAAGGTGCAACTTCACCTGGCCTTCTGTCTGAGGACACCTGGACTTCGCATCCTCCACAAGCTAAACCAGTGGCAGTGATGAGAGGCTTTGAATTTCTCACTACTGATCATTTAGAAGTTAACTAAAAAATACCAGTGTATTAATACCTTTGTATTTATAGTTGCTTTCCAGTTGTTTGTTTGTATTCTCATGTCTTGAGGTGGGCACAAAACTCACACAAATGCTTACATGTACATTTGGAGATGGCTCAAAACCTTGCCTTCTAGCAAGGGTTGAAATTTTTCTTTTATACGTCAGCTCAGTAGTTCTCAACCTTGTTAAGACTCAAGCCATCATCGTTAGCCCCAGGACGCCTCTTGTAAAATGCCAGCTTGTCGTACTCTATTTTTTCTGTAGTCAAAAAAAATAAAATAAAAATTGAGCAATTCTACTGCAAAGAACTTGGACCACAGCAGGTACAAATGTTTTTGACCCTGCCGATTCCTATTTGAAATCTTTGGATTTATCTTGTGAATCATGTTTGCACACCTCCAGCGGTGGTTCCTCCTCCTGCTTTTGCCCTTGCTGTGCTGCTCCGGGCAGGTGGGTGGGGGGAAGTTTCAACCAGGCAGCTTCCACTGGAGGGAGCAGACCAGAACAGCAGTGGGAACAGCCCTGCCAGAAGCTGTGTGTTAGCAGGGGCTGGGGCCAGGTTGGTGGGCATGGAGGGAATACAACTTAGGCTGCCTTGGGCAGGACTTGGTCCCATACGGAGTGCCATTGGAGGAGTTGTGGGCTGCACCACCTCTGCTGCACATGCCCCCGACCTCCTCCTCCCTCCTTTCCCCTCTGATTGGATCCTGGGACCTAGCACTCGGGCAGCCCCCCATCACACCCTCCCCCCCCCATATACACACTCCCCACCCCGCACCAGGGCAGGGTGTGCAGGGAGTGGATCAGCCTCTCCCAGCTGTCTTGATCCCAGAGGGAGTTTTAGTGAATTGTTACTGGCAGGGGTGTGGGGGAAGGGCATTGACCCGGCCCATGGTAACTAATCAGAACTCCCTATATGGCCCTCTGGCCCAAATAATTGTGCAGTCCTTACCTAGTGGATGTCTCCCATTCTTTGGTCAAGATGGCTATTTTCTGTAGTCTAGACCAGTAATATTTAAAATATGTCTTTAGGATTGTTCTTTTAGGGTGAAGGTTAGTATATACTCATCTTCAGTTTTCCTTAAGGACCTGAAACAAAACTTAAATTCCATTTTGCGTTCCTAATTCCATTTGATATTTTTTCAGTACCGATTTGTTTGGTAGTAAAATTCAGATGAGCACTTTCTTGTATAACATCCTTATTGGTGGCTCTTCACCAATAGAAATGAAGGTACAAAACGTACGGGAGAAGGCATGCAGTATTTAATCTAAAGGACAAGTGTCTGTAGTCTCTGCTTCCTAACCTTACTTTTCTCTGTTAGGTTTTACAGTTGATTCTGACACTTCTTCCAGGTGTCTGCCTGCTCAAGTTTAACATAAACTACTCTTCTGAACTCTCCAGTTCTTTACAGTGCTGTGTATGAAGAAACTATTAGTGCTGGTAGACTGACTGTGTGGCCTTTAAATCTAAGATATGTGACTTTACTTAGTTGGGAACCATGAGTACAGAAGTGCTATGGGGATATTAAGCTAATGCATTACTAGTTTATACTTTTGCTATGAAAACATACCAGATAAAGCATAAAGGCTGATGACAGATATGGAAAAACAAAGCAAAACAGTGCTTTACCGGAAGAGGAAGTACGTTAGTTTGACTCAGCTCCCTAGCATCTGTATAGACTGAGCTGTTGAGCAAGGCTTTTTGGAGCATTAATTCAATAGCTGATTGAATCTGAATTTTTGGGCATGTGCGGTGCTTGATGCAGGGGCACACCAAGTTGAAAGTAAAGCACTGCTTTTTTGTTGGTTTTTTTATGTGTGTGTGTTGTTTTTTGTTTTTCCCTCATGTCTGTAAGAAATTATACTTCTTTACTGTTATAGTCTGTCCTGAAGACATTACCAACTCATAGAAATAACTGTTCTTAAGTTGGTGGAACTTTTACTATGTGCCTTGTAAGTGGCACTGCTTCCTCTGTGGTTTTTTTTCTTTGAGCACTGTGTAAGCATTGTGTAGACAAAATGCAAATCTTACTTTTAATTTTAAGGAAAAATTAATGCAAATTGTATTAGCTATCACTTTACCTTCAATTTCTACTAGCAAAGGCTTGATATGTGGCCTTTTACAGTGGATTTATATACCAGAATTATTTGGTAGAAAGATTTGGGAACCCTTTCTTGGGGAAGATTTTGTTGTGCCAAAACTCAAGGCTGTAATGAGAGGAGATCCTCCTGGGTTTCTTTGTAGCCAGATTGATCCTTATAGTGTAGTATGTTTTAGATAGTACACATTATGATTAGAGACCTACTTAAACTGTGGTGAGACAAAGGGTTTTTTGTAGCCCACTTGCAGCATGCAGAGTTGATTTTGTGGCAGCCCCACCCCTTGGTCCTAATTGGTGAAGACGCCTTAGGGGGGAGGCGGGATGAAGGGGCATCTATGATCCTGTCTGTCGCCTGTCATCTGCACTGCCAGCTGGTGCCATCCTGCTGGGGAGGCAGCATTTTATTTTCATTAAGGTTTTGATTTTTGTGGATTTTGCAGACAATCCTGGATTTCGTGGTTTCCATAAAATCTGCAAAACCATGAATTAAGTTGGTCCTTAATTATGATTGGTGGTGTTAAGTATGTGTTGTAATATTGCAAGATGACTGCCTGTACAACTTTTCATCCCTTTCTACAGCATTTCAGTTTCTTGGAGAAGGAAGCTTAGTATGTTTAGGTTCATAGTTGTTGTGAGCTTCTGATAAGTCGATAATGGCTGCAGTCACTGTCTAACTGTGTTCTTTTCTTGTGTTTTAGGATTCTCCCTTTACAAATGCAGGAATGGGGTCTAACCTAAATCTTTTGGGGGAGATAGAATGTGATGCCAGCATAATGGATGGAAAATCACTCAATTTTGGAGCAGTTGGAGCATTGAGTGGTACGTTGCTGTGGCATTATAAAATATAAATATTTTAGATGTAAACTTTTAACATTTTACCGTTGAGGCAGGGTGAGGGGACTGTGAAGTCCTAAGGCTGGTCTTGGAGTTGGGTTTAGTTCTTCTGCTGTTAAAATTAATGGGCGGAGAATGGCCCCAGAGCTGTGTACTTTGTTTTAATATTCTTTCTTGTAATAGTCTGCATGAATGAATTTTGACATGACACTGGCTCCGATCCTCTAAAAGTAGTGGTGGCCAACCTGTGGCACATGTACAGCAAACAAACGAGTTAGAGGAACAGTTCAGTCAGGGAGTGGAAAGCAAAGCAAGTGATGGGAATGGTGCTTGGGGAGGGTTTGGCACTAATTTGTGGCACACCTATGAAAAAGGTTGTCCTCCACTGTTCTGAAGTGTGCCTGTAGAGTTAGGGTTGCTTACATGAAATGCTTCTTGGTTTAGATGGTGGCTTTGCTATAGAGTGCTATATCTTTATATCGGAATAACATGCATAAAAAAAAATAGAGAAGCTATCTGCAATGAGATGGACAAAACCAAATGTTACATGCTTCTTTAAAAAAAATTGTAGAGCATCTCCAACAGCTAGTTATTTTATTTGGGAAAGAAGCTGTCTTGAATATAACGGAGTTTTTTGCTGCTGTTTGTTCAGAAATCTGTCACTTTTTGCACATGGCTAAGGCAGTTTGGTTTGGTTTGCTTTATTTTCTTGGGCTGTAATTATTAGTGCATAAGATTTAATGAGTTTCTAAATGGGATTTGCTTTCAAATTCATGTCTTATAAAACAATTACTTCTAAAAGTGCTCCTTTCACCTCCTTGAATAGTTTTAAACTGACTGTTTCTTATACTTTAGCTTATACTTTTAGTATTTGTTTTAAATATTAGCATAGAATGCTGTTAAAAGAATACTGTCATGTTGTTCAGGTACCAAATACAAAAGCATTGGTAAGAAACATCCTCCTGACATGCACACTTTTACAACATCTAAATGACAGATGGATTTTTCAGTCTTTCAAAGTAAATAAATGTGTAAGCATGAATAGTCAATGAAGGACTGCAAAAAATCTTCTGAGCTTTCTTCTCCTAGAGTTCTTGCCAGAAATTGAATAAAAAAAATACATCCGATTGAAAATAGGGAACGGTTCTTGCCTGTAGTATTCAACTTCCCTTGCATCTATTTTTAGGTTGATTGCTGCAGCATCAAGAAAAGAATATCATCTTTTTTTGGTTGCTTGCTTTGAACTTGTGTAACAGGGGAGTCTCTGCTAATGTTAAGTATGTTACATTAGCACTTCTTTTTAAAGAAAACCAAAAAAGAAGTGCTACCTTTTAACAGTGCTGCCAGTCTTGTAGCTATACTTTTTTTTTTCTTTATGAATTTTATCATTAAGTTAAAATCATTGATACTGCGAGACATAGTTTTATGAATTAGCCAAGTTATGAAAACTAAGTAGAACTGAATTCCTGGTACTGATTTGCCAAAATAAATTCTTCAGTTCTAGATACTGCCCCCCAACTTTTTTTTTTTTTTTTCATTCTTATTTTCTGCTAATTTTCTTTTTCAGGAATCAAGAATCCAGTTTCAGTTGCAAATAGGTTGTTGTGTGAAGGGCAGAAGGGAAAACTCTCTGCTGGCAGAATTCCACCTTGGTAATTGCTTTATTCTGCTTTGCTTTATTTTAGCCTTTGGTCTTTAATGCATGCAATATTTGAAGGTTATTCTTATCCAAGGAAGGCTGATGCTGTTTGTTACAAATCAGCAATAGCATGTCTGTGAAAGGAAGATTTGCTTTGTTCTCTGATCTTGGAACATCTTGAGCACTTTGTGCAGCTGTGAATAGAATGAGATATTGTGGATGGATGGCGATATGATGTTTAGCATTAATTTCTTTTGTGGATGTTTCCATAGATACTTGTGCTATTACGAATTTTTTATTCCTTCCTTTTTTTTAATTTTTAAAAGTGCATACATTTTTTGAAGTTAAAAACTTTTTTTTAAAGAAAAAGACCCCATGCTCTTCTTTATGTGGTGGCTTCATTTTCCAGCTTTTAGATAAATGTTTAGGTGACAATACTTGCTGACTCCCCCCCCCCCCCCCCCCC